AAAAAAAAAAAAAAAAAAAAAAAAAAAAAAAAAAAAAAAAAAAAAAAATTGTTTCTTGTTTATGAACATTTTGATAGGAAATATAATAAATATTATTTGTCAGAAAAACAGAGTGAGTCTACATGAAAATATATATCAGGGTAAAATTCCACAGGCAAATAACTTTTTGTAAAAAGAGGTTTTATTGTGTTTACACATGTGTCTTTGTGTGTGTGTCCATGCGTTCAAGTGTGTTATTTTTCTTATAAAATTATAAGGAATTTAGGCCCTTCTATATTGCCTAGATTCTGATGACCATGCAATGGATGAAGTACAATTGGATTCAGAAATTAAATTTACTTCAGCCTAATGTTAATGGAGTTGAAAACGAAGGTTGAAAAGATTATGTGGAAATGCACTTCAAATTTCAGCTCAAGACTATAGGCTCAGTGTTTTTACATTAAAGAACATTTTAGGCAAGGTGACATCTGAAAGTTTGGCTTTCAAATAAAGTATTACTGTTGAATTATTATTATAATAATAATGTATTATTGCTGAATTTATTGTTGACTGGTGACCTAGAGCCTCATCATTGTGTTGGAGCTCTACCTGTTAGGAAGGCAGTTGCCAGTGTTGATATAGCACAGCGAACAATGCAGCATCCGATACTGTATGAGTGTGTTCAGAGAAACGGCAAAGACACTAAAATAAGAAACGGTGTGATGGGGATAATCACTCCCAGATTTGCAGAATTTCCATAGATCATTCCTATAACAGATAAATAATTAACCATACACCGAAACAGAGAAATAAATGATGTTTCCAAGTAATGCACGAGGGGACAAAGTCTATACACAAGTGACAATAGAGTAGACAGACAGTTTGGAAGTAAACTAAGTGAAAAAATGAACCCGAAGTGTGACGTGAAGCTAAACTATATCTGAAAGTCTACTTGATTCTTGCTTTTATTATTAAAACTGCAGAATTTGTTTCTAGATTATTTTAGAAAGGATTAATTTGATCTAAGTATATATGTTTGCAAATTCTTGAAGAATCTTAAATTTCAGAGACTTTCTTCTGTGAAGAATTCACAAATGGTATATTTAGTATATTCTTACTGCAAATGAAAAATAGACTTGACATCAACATCCAATTCTTCAGAAGCTAAGTGTATATATTTTTGTAGAGAATCATTTGCATTTTTGATGGATACAGACATAGTTTATGTTTTATGGCCTTCTAAGAGGAATTGTAATTTATCAGATATAGCAATGTACAAAAATTATTCGGGCAGTGGTGGTACACACCTTTAATCCCAGCACTCAGGAAGCAGAGACAGGTGGATCTCTGTGAGTTCAAGGCCAGCCTGGACTACAGAGCAAGATCCAGGAAAGGCACCAAAACTACATGGAGAAACCCTGTTTCAAAAAAACAAAAAACAAAAAATAAAAAAATGTACAAAACTTAAATGAAAAAATAAATTTACATAAAGATAAGCTTTTCTTCTTGTTTATTTGAATATATATATGTTCAATATATATATATATATTGAATATATATATATATATATATATATATATATCTGTCCTATATATAGTTACAGCCATACAGTTTTGTTGGGTTTAGTAGTTCATAGGTGATCACTGAATTTATGACTACCTGGGATGTATTTTCATATTATGTGGTATATCCTAAGAAATGGTCAGTTAATGTTTTAACAATGTTTTCTTTCTATTATTTCAGCAGCAGCTAAAAAAGATGAGAAGAAAGAAGGTAGGTTTTCATGTTTTATGTAAAGTCCCACTGTGCCATTTGCTAGAGCAATTTACCAATGCTCAGAACTGAATTTGACTGCTCTTCTGCCCACATTCCTATTGGATACTGGACCTATTATGTGCACTCATTTTGCGTGAATGTGCCTTTTCTGTTTCACCAAGGGATGAGCTACTTTCAAAATAATTTTAGTATGGTTTTTCTCAAGTAAAAAATAAAACATAGTCTGTCCAAATCTTAGTCTGTCCTGACTCTGTTGGAAACTTGATAAAATGTTGTATATTTGTGAAATGCAGAACTCATTGTCCTATATTAAGTCCTTTTATATTGAACATACAAAAAAATACCTGATTAAATTTCCTTCTTCTGAACTGACTATCTGACTATAAGTTATAGTCAATCCCTTGTATATCATATCCACTGCTGTTTTACATTGGCACAATGTAGAGTAAAACATACCTTGTTAAAAATTACACTGAATGGATTATTCAAGCCAAAGTTTCATTTGAGACTGTTGTAATTAGGATAAAGTACATTAATAACAGGTGTATAGAGAACATAACTCCACAGAAATCACAAGACTGGAAGATTGCGTGTGCTGTGGTGAACCAGCTAAAACTTCTAGAAGATACTGAACTGTGGGTGATCAGTGTGATTAGGCCATTAATCTCATAATGGCCACTTTCTGGACTCAGGCTTCTTTTCCCAAGAGTGCTATCTTTAAAAAATATAATGATTATAGTCCAGAGTGTTTATGGAGGTTCATATGTCAAAAAGATCGAGAAGGCATTTACAATGGCAAGAATTCTAAAGTGAAATATCTGTAGAGAGAGAGAGAGTAGAGAGGGAGAGCAGATGTCTATAGACATGATGAAATCTGGTTATGGCTAGGGAAGCATGGGAGAAGAGCAGGCTGATCTAGTTCTCATCATCCTCCTCTGAGAAATATTTATAGTGCACTCTCACACAACATTTGCAAAAGGCACCACCACTGCTAATTAATCTAGGCTCATTTTCATGACAAAAGTAGCATGTAGATATAAGAAAACACTAGTCATGCAGAATGCCACCTATAATCTAATTAGTGATCTCTGATCAGAGAATGACAGAAGAAAGCAAGGGTTATATTTTATACTTAATTTCATTAGAATTTTCCCTGATCACAAAAATCTTGAAGTTCAGTTTTACTTCTGTTAAACAGAAACCTGAGTTAATATACATGAAAAAGGAAAGAAAACAAAACAAAAACTTGCTTACTATTTTAGAGGGAAAGAAGTCACAACATTATGATAAAGACCACTTGGACACATCACTGTGTTTGTTATGACATTTCAATCCTTATTAATTCTCCATATAAATGTAGTAAATCTTTTCATACTGTTTTTTCAAATGATACCATGCATGTTCACTTCTGTTGTAAATACTTCGGAAAGTCGTCAAAGATGCCATGAGAACAGAGGTAGTAAGTTCTCAGCACAGTTGTATACAGAATAAAGCCTCAGAAATGTTTGTTTTTTTCATGTTATAGGATCTCAATAGTAAATTCAATTTATCATTTAATTTGGGTAAAGAAGTAACATTAATAACTATTTTTGAGATAGTCATACAAAAAATTTAAGGGTGAGATTTTCCGTGAGTTCATTATGATAAGTTGATTTTTATTTAGAAATTATATTTAATTCATTAGCACTAAAAGCAAAATGCTAAGAAAATCATGTCAGATGAAGCAATAGTCACATTATAATTTCATGTATTAAAGCTGAATGATCGCTGCTCACCCATTGTTATGCATCTAGGACATTTTCTAGTTTTGTTTTTGCCTGGCTAACAAACCTCAGATCACTTTTATTAAGAAATTCTCCAAGCCATGCGGTGGTGGCTCACGCCTTTAATCCCAGCACTCAGGAGGCAGAGGCAGGCAGAACTCTGTGAGTTCGAGGCCAGCCTGGGCTACCAAGTGAGTTCCAGGAAAAAGGCGCAAAGCTACACAGAGAAACCCTGTCTCAAAAAACCAAAAAAAAAAAAAAAAAAGAAAAGAAATTCTCCAAATCCAATATGTGATACTTAGAATTTCCCCTGGAAATTCAACTGTTAAAAAAAGTAAAACATTCTCCCAGTGAACTCTAAAACTCTACTATATGGTAATCAATGTTGCAGTTTTCCACTGGACCCTGACATTTAGTCTTTCATACACTTCGGTCTCATTGGCCTCTCTTTTACTTCATTCTTCCTAAATAAATTAAAACTTTAATCTAGAGTACAGTCTTCAGCAATATAGTTGCTGCTTATATGGCCAGTGAGATCTCATAATGGTCTCACCAGTTGCTCGGGTCAACCAGGGTGATGACTTCTTAGAAGTAGATATTTTTATAGTGTTCAGTGACTCCAGAGAATCCCTGAGACCTTTCTAGTCCCTCAACACAAAAGCATCATACTAAAAATATAAATGTATTTTATGTTCTTCTTTTTCTTTCTCACGTGAATGTTTACTAGAATTTTCCAGAAGCTAAAAGATGTGTGACTTTGAAACAGACTAAGTGGCTAAGCAGACATATCAATTCAACTGTCATCTAATTAGGCCAGATGTTAACAAGATTCACAGAAACATGAAATGTATAGTCATCCATCTCACTATTTTTGTCAAAAGAATTAAATATGCCATAAAGTGTGTTATTAATGTTCATTGTAACAGATTTATTATTTAAATAAATCATAAGTATGTTTGAAATGTTCTCAGCTTACTTTTTAAAGTTATGAACATCAATTAAAACATAAATAGAAGCTGTCTGTGGTCCCTAATGATTGTTAGGCATTTAAAGGATCCCGGAAATGAAAATGTGTGAGACTGTAACAGAAATAAATACCCTGCCTCTAATACTTATTTATTCTAAAATATTAAACTGCATTAATTAAAACGTTTAAATCATTAGCTGTCTAAAATACGGAGTGACTCTACCATGACTGCAGAATGTACGCTACCCACCCTAACCTGAAATTAAAGTCCTCAAGCCCACTTTCACAATGGCTTTCCATACTTGCTGTCAGGCAAACAACCATGTGGCAAACCCAATCCCAAACCCAAAGACTGAATAATTCTAGGGGTCAGGCATGGGAAGCCCTCTGAGACTGAGACAATATATTACTTCCATAGATATAAAAATTAAAACTAGCTGAGGGTGCCTGCCTCATGGTGTCTTTCTCCCACATCGAATTGAGGTGAGGTATTAATGTCAGAAAACACTTATGAATCACTTCCTAGAAGCCAGTTCCATCCTATGGCAATATGTTTTGTGAGCTAGTGCCCTCTTCCCAGGATCCATGGCTAGGAGGCTGAGGTGGAGGTGAGAAAAGGTCTTCACAGTCACGTGGGAGATTGGAGTATTGGTCCCATCAGCTCTTCATGAGGCTATGTTTTAAGAGGACTACTAGGCATCCTGCTAAAATTCAGTTCAGTGCAGTGGGCACCTTAGCATGCATAGCTAGTGACTATATACAAGGTTACTAGGGCACCATGATGAGGTTGTCACCCTACATATGCATGCTCTTCCTTCCTGTACTTGATGCAAAGCTGCTCTCGATATTACATTAAAAAAATCCTCTGTCATGACTTTAGTATTACTGTCATCCAAACAGAGCTTACTGTTCCTTTTTCTCCTACCAAAATGCAATTGTTTTAAGGCTTCAGGTGATTTCTCCTTTCTGTAAGAAGTTTGATCCTCTCACTTCATATCCCTCCTCCTCTTCCTCTGCAAGATTCCCAGAGCTCATCCCAGAGCCATGATAGGGGGTTCATGGTAGAGGAACCCACAGAGACAGCTGACCTGAGCTCATGGGAGCTCATGGACTCTGGACCAACAGTTAGGGAGCTTACATGGGACCGAGCTAGACCCTCTGCATGTGTGTGACAGGTGTGTAGCTTGGTCTCTTTGCAAGGGCTCCTAGAAGTGAGATCAGGACCTGTCCCTGGTGCTTAGCTGGCTTTGGGGGACCTGTTCCCCCATACTGGATTACCCTGCCCAGCCTTTATGTGGGGGGGGGGCGGGGAGGAGCTGAATCCAGCCTGAACTTGATGTGTCATGCTTTGTTCAAGCCCATGGGAGGCCTGCCCTTTTCTGAATGGAAGGGGAAGGGGGAAGATTGGAAGAATGGGAAGAGAGGAGAGAGGGGAAACTGTGTATGTAAAATAAATGTAAAAAATGTTATTTAAAAAATTAAAAAAAATACTAAAAATATTTTTGAGGTTATGAAAGTTTTATTTTTAACCATTCAGCTGTTAATTTAATCATATCTACAGTATCAATAATTTATCTTTGCATTTTCAGATTCCAAGAAAACGAAAAAAGCTCCGGAAGGTACAAGAAATACTTTAAATACTTTCTGATTTGGGTGTGTGTGAGGGCCTCCTTCTTGGTACTTTGATGAGCCCGTCAACAGCATTTTACACCTAAAAGATGCACCTTGAAGAAAAATCTGCGTACGGAATAGAAAAGGGGAAAAGGAAGAGAGCGAGTGCATGGGAGCAAGCAAGAGAGAGATCTTTGACAGTATTGCCACTCCAAGTATTTGACTGTGACAAAAAAAAGGGTCTGGAGCTGTAGCTTAGGGACAACACACTTGTCTACCATGTGGAAGACTCCATGCTCAATCTCTAGCAAACACAAAACATCAATAATTAATAATAATAATAATAATAATTTTTATTATTATTATTCCTAATATTTACCTATCATGAGCTTTTTCAAAGATATGGTTATTTTATGATACTGAGTAATGTTACATATCAGATACACAAATTTAGTTAATTCAGTACCTTTTTAACCTAGTAACAGCTGTTATGAATTGAAACATACCTTCTTTCTCTTGACTGCAATCATGACCCATTTGGAAAATACAGCCTCTGCCTTCTGAAATTATATATGATATTACTCACATGTGTTAAAAGACTACCAGGCATAAATAGCTCACATTCTTAAGCAGGATAATTCTCGACCACTTCATTGTTGAATGATGTTTCTGTCAATTAAGTTATAGACCTACCTGGGGTAATTAGTGATATCTGAAAGCAAGACTCACTGTGAAATTCAAAAGGAAAAGTAATGGGGAGGTGGGTTGGGGAAACTGCACTCTAGCCATTGTTTTTGTGGTAAATGTATCTTAAAATCTTTTAAGAGCAATGGTCCCCTGCTTCTTTTCCTTTCAACAGAACAACCCAAGGGGAAAAGTAAGGAAATGCATGAAAAGTCTGTTTGTGCAAACATGTTGCCGCTCCTGCTATATAACCGGCCTGCTAGTGCTGGTGTATTTGTATTTCAGATTTCTGTGTTGAATGCATGTGCACCTACTTTTATTTTTATTTGTTTATTTTAGGGTTTTATATTATTTACTGATTTTTGGCATACGTGAGCATATGTAAAATGGAGGTCAGAAACTATAGCAAGCATTCTCACTCACACAGACAGCTAATAAACCTGTAATTTTCTACTATAAGTGCACTGCAGTGATACCCACGATGTAATATATTTGTGTAAGTTTAGTGTTGTCATCTAGTTCCCCTTCCATTCTTAGAAAACACTCAGTGGGAGTTGTTTTCAATGCTCTTCCCTATTATCTTCTTGTAATCTACAAATACCTTGGCATGCTCACGTTCCATCTACCTGCAAACATTATAAGATCTTTGTAATAAAATTGCTAGGGATCCATTTCTTAAGGATCACCCAGAATTATTCAGCACACTGTTGAGATTGCTTGCCAGCAGTTCAGTAAAGCGATATGCCTCCAGGTTTGTGTTTTGCAAAAGTAAGGTATGCTTAACAATTATAAACTAAGGGGCAATGTAACTTTACTCAGCCATTAAAATGAACACACTTCTAGGAATGTAGAGGTACAATTCCATTGGCATTTAAAAATTCTGCTTTAAAATATACATCAACTTAAAAAATGATGCATGTTTTGGTTGTACCCAAAGTTAGGACACTGAAACCTTCTGTCATAAAAACTGCTCTAAATGTCCTGTGGAAAGAAATTATGCTACAAAGCAGCCAGAGGGAGCAATTTATCTGTAGAGAAGTATATGTTCCTTCAGGCCTGGATTGATGAGTGTATACAGCTGCCATGAAATCTGGCCCAAGGATACCGAAAACACACCATAAACCAATGCACCTGCATGAACATGGAAGCAATCAGAAATTTGAAAATGCTACTAAATTATATACACATATATATGATATATTTAATATTATGATCTAGTCAGTGCTCATTCTTAGAAAACACTCAGTAGCTGTTGTTTTCCAGGTATTCCTTATTATATTTCTTCTTGTAATCTACAAATATTTTGGCATGGTCATATTCCATCTCCCTACAAAAATTATAAAGTCATTGGAATAAAATTGTTAGGGACCCAATTCTTAAGTATCATAATAAATCATTCAACACAATTTTGAAAAGTGCAAATATATACATACATATTATTTTGATCTATTTATTTATATATGGCCTTCGCTTTGTTGCCGTTTATGTGATTTAAAAGTTTCTGCAGACATACCACATCTCCTTGGCAATCTTCAGGGCACTGATGTATTTAGTGAATAAACATTCCTTCTCAGATGTTCACTTACAACCCAACTCATGAGAAGGACAGTAGATTGTGACTTGGGTAGTAGTTGGAGAAGAAATTATGTCCTTAAAAATAACTATTATAATCACATTCAAATTAACCTGCTGTTTCTGCTTTGTGGAGTAGACTTTCTCTTTATTAATATTATTGAGTCTTTTAATTTGTTTGATTTGAATTTTTGTATTTAAGTTAGCTCTATTCAATCATATACTTTAATCTCATGTTTAGTTTCAAATTAATCTAGTTATCATAATTTAAAAGATTTTTCTCCTTATAAGTTAAAATTAAACTATGATGAGAAAAAGAGGACAAGGAGTATATTAATATTTTATAAAATCTTATAGTCTTGATATTTTTAGTGTAAAATGTATAATAAAACTAAAATTCAAATATCCCAAATAGTCAACTGTTGTTTGAATCTTAGATGGTCTTTTAATTAAAAAAAAAAACAAAAAACAGTGCCAGATAATGGGGTGAAAGCAGAAAGATCAGAGAAGCAGAGCAAACCACAGCCACAACCTGTTACCTCATCAACTCCATAAATCCTCAGACTGAAAGCCTCTGAGTCCTCACCTGAAAGGATCTCAGCTGAACTGTTTTAGTTCCTGATTCTCCATGCTTTATATCCCTTTCTCCACCCTGCTGTCACTTCCTGGGATTAAAGGCGTGTGTGCTTCCCAGTACTGCCTGTCCTACGTCTAATCTAGTGGCTGGCTCTGTCCTTTGATCCTCAGGCAAGCTTTATTAGGGTACACAATGTATCACCACAGTCAACCAGAGTCAGGGTTTGTCAGTCCCTCTAGAATTTAGAGGTAAACTGATTTATATTTTAAGGTGGTTGGATAATTACATCCTGAAATACACCATACAATACACACTTATGAATGTGTTTTCTTATGTAGCATTAAAGGTTGAGACAAGTACTTATCTGTATTTGTGTATGTATACATACATTTGTAAGAAGGGAGAGTTTTTATTTTGTCTTTGGATATCACACATAGCCAGTGTTTGATTTTAACAAATGCAAAAAATTACTTCCAATAATTGTTTCACTGTCATCACTTTATAAATATAAATATCTTTAAATATTTCAATTAATTACTCAGCTGCTAATTAAACAATATGCCCAGGAGCTGAACAGATGGCTTATTGATTAAGAACACTTGCTTCTTTTTCAGAGGACCAAGGTTTGGTTCCCAGCACCCACACGGTGGCTTTCAACTGTCTGTACCTCTAGTTCCAGAGGCTCTGATGCCCCTTTTGGCACATGACATACACAGTATGCATTCACACATAGTGGCAAAGCACTTGAATACATAAAATTAAAATGAACATATGTTGAAAGAAAGTAAAAATAAACATCATGCCTAGTTAATTGTCATTTGGACTTTTAGGAATGTCTTCAGTAGGTTTAGTTTTAGCTAAGCCACACTTTATTTTGCTTTCAGCACTTGGTCAAACTATTTGTTTTATTTACTGCTAACAACTGTGCCAGAGTAGAATAAGTTGCATAAACTATGTACATCAGTACTGGCTTGATGAAAAAGAAATTGCACATGGATCCTTTGATGCATTGGCCAGAGAATATTCTGTGACACAATTTTGTCCTAAAATTTGGTTTATTGAATTATTTGAGTGTAAACATATCCCTATCTCTGGATTGTACTCATTAGATAAAATGTTAAGGAATCTCTGTCTTTCTGTCCTTCACTTGGCCTATATGTTACCATTGCTCGAGGATCTTCTTTTCATTAAACTGACAAGTTGGCAAGTCAAAATAAGAATAGGTACATAAACAATAGCATTTCCTATCAGATTATTGCCTGAACTTCCCAGAAAAATAGTCCTCATTAACAGGTCAGTGTTACCTTAAATTTAGAGTCATGCCTGTTTCTCATACAATGTGAGTGAGGGGGTCTGAAGGAAGTGCCACATAAAGAGGATGCTAGTGTGACAGGTGTCCTGCAAACAAGAGTGTGTTTGCCCCCATCAGTCCTCTTACTTGATCTTAGTGCTTCAATCTTCTCATCAAAGTCCTTAATGCCACAAATACATACCTAAGAAAATACTTGGCAGAGGAAGTGCATATAATATGGACCCAGACTCAACTTTCTCTAACTTATTTTAAATCAACCATAATAATTATTACTTGGCACTTACTTTGTATCCAAGCTTTAATTCATGTCATTATATAATAAGAGTAAGCTTAATGTGTTCCATCCTTAAGGAATCTGTATTATTTTTTTTTCTCATTTCTACTTCAGAAAAAAAAATCTCTAATGCTCAGAATATTTCGTTGCTATGCTAGGAGAACATGCTCAATGAACTAGGGAGAAAGGGTTATCCTGAGGGCGAGATAGTAATCCTTTTGTGACATTTGTAAGTTCCTGTGGTCTAGCATCAGCAATGCATGTTTGTTTACATTAAAAAATCTTATTTAGAACACTTTAAAGTATAATAATATTAACAATGATAATATGTTTTAGAACAGGAAAAGAAAGAAAAGCCCATAGAACCAGGTAATTATTTTAATGTTTTCCTATTTTTTAAAAATTATTTAATTGCTACTTGAATACTGAATTTTAATGGACTATCACAGATTGTTGATTTTTTCCCATTCTTTTCTTGTTTCACACAGCAAAGTCACCAAAAAAGGAACATCCGGGTGAGTGAGACTGGTGCAGCTCGATGAATTTTACCAGGAGGCAAGCCTGAGACAGGGTTGTAAAGGCAATGACAGGTTGGGGCAGGAAATCTGTCCATCTCACTGTCTGTTTTCTAAGCTCTTGACAGAATCAATATCAACATAGTTTGAGAGGAGGGAAATCTAATGCTGTGTTCTTCTCTTGTTGCTCAACGTGTGTCTATGAGGTAGCAGTATCAGATCCTCTGAGAGGTTGGTAGTACCAGAGTCTGGCCTCACCCCAGACCGACAAAGTCAGAATACATCTTGGTAAGATCCCCTTGCACACATTTAGACAATGTCTGAGAATCAGTATTGCTGGAAACACACCCAGACAAGAGCAATTTATGGGGGAGGATTTATTTATCTCACAGTTCAAGGCTAGAGTCCATTGACACGAAAGAGCTCAATGCAGTAAGTTACATCATATCCATGGCCGGTATGGAGAGAGTAATGACTGCTGAGTCTAGCTTGCTTTCTCCTTTAATTCAGCCCAGGACCACAGCTCATGGATTCTCACACCTAGCGTGGGCTTTCCCTCCTCCATTCATCTGGTTTAGATAATCTCTCACACATGCTCAGAGGCTCATCTCCTCACTGGTTCTAGAGTCTGAGAAGCTGATGATCAGCAATGTCCATCACAAGCACTGTTTTATAGATATACTTTTGATTAAAGCAAACAAGAGAAAATAAAAATAAAACATTTCTGTGAATGTGCCTCACATTGTTTTACTTTTGAATTTTCAACTCCAGAAAATACTCTCTCCCTATTCATAATGTTACTTAACATTTTTTTTGACTGCTCTGGGTGTTTCTCTCAATACAGCAACACTCTATGATTTGAAAATTGAAATTAAAACCAATCAACCAGACAAATAAAACAACTGAGACTAAAAGTACAGTTAATGTGCACATAAAATCATTTCCTTACAATTTTCTTAAATTTAACCAGTTTTGGCAAGGCATTTCAAATGAAAATTCCTGAAATACTTTTATTTGATCTTGCCTTAAACACTACCTATAGCTTTTTCTTTGTGAACACTTTTCAAATAACATAACTGAGGCTTTTGTACTCTCTCTCTCTCTCTCTGTCTCTCTGTCTCCCCTTCCTCTTCTTCCCTCCCCCCTGCCCCATGTGTGTGTGTGTGTGTGTGTGTGTGTGTGTGTGTGTGTGTGTGTGTACAAGATGAGAGTGTACATGTTTGTGCAGGCTGTAACCTATGGAGAGTGTAGGTGTGAAGACATGTTTATGTGCAGGGGGTGTGCATGTGTGCAGTCAAACATCACCTCAATTATTTTCTTTCAGATGCTCCGAACACATTAAATTGTATCTAAAATGAAACAACATTCATTATGTCATTAGCCAAGTGAATACAGCTAATGTAGAGTATATCTATAACTCTTTGCGATAGCTGTTCGAACCTACATTTCTCATTCTTTGACCAACTTTGTAATACCTCCCGTATGAACAAAATCTGCTTAGACATCTTTTCAGTACTTCAATAGTATTACTTTCTTTCTGTTATCATAGATTTTAATATGCTGATATAATTCCCTTTTCTTTTGGGGGCTTTAAATCATCAGAAGTTAGAGAATACAGATGGCATTTAGCTCTTTATTCTCAAAAATGCCTGCTTTGATTCCAGATACACAATGGGCACTTGACAAGAGTTTAATAGTTGAAGAGAAGAACATGAAATAGAATAATAATTGGTTATAAAGTATAAAAACTGAGTAATTTTCAGTCACATAATTTAAGAGATAAAAAATAGCATATTTCATTATTTCACATTAACAGTCAAGCTACTACAACTCAGAAAAGGGATGTATTGTCTACATTATAGAGTGGAGCCTATTTATCCAGGAGTGTGTTTCCACAATAAGATAACAACACTCATATTTATGTACATATGTGGAAGCCTAAAATAGAGTATAAAATATGGAAAACATGCAGAAGTATTCACAAGTATTGATAGGAGCAATTTCAATGGATCAGTATCACTGCCATGTAGTATCACTAACTACAATAGTCTAATTTTTTGTAATCAGTGTATGAACATCTCAATGTGTGAATACAGTGCACCAACTTACTAATACTCAGGCATTTTTGTTTTGTTTTGCTTTGATTTTAGAAACAAGGTCTTTCTATATAAGTCTGTCTGTCCTGGAATTCACTATGTATACAAGGCCAGCCTCAGACTCACAGAAATGCTCCTGCTTTCGCCTCCCAAGTCCTGGGATTAAAGGCATTCACTAACATGCCTGACTATTTAGACTTTTTTTTTTTTTAAGAAAATGGGAAATACCCATGAATCTACAAAGACGACCCCAGCTAAGACTCCTAACAACAGTGAATATGTAGCCTGAACTGGCCCTCTCCTGTTATCAGATTGGTGATGACTCTATTGTCATCGGAGAGCCTTCATCCAGTAGCTGATGGAAACAAATGCAGAGACCCTAAAGCCAAACATTAGCCCGAGCTTGGGGAATCCTGCTGAAGAGAGGGAGGAAGGATTGTAGGAGCCAGAAGGGACAAGGACACCACAAGAAAACCTACAGAAACAACTAACCTGGCTCACAGAGTCTGAACCTACAACCAGACAGTCTACATGGGACCAACCTAGGCCCTCTACATATATGCGACAGTTGTGTAGCCTGGTCTACTTGTGGGACTCCTAACAATGGGAGCAGAGGCTGTCGCTAATGTTGGGAATCTATCCCTCATGCTTGATAGCCTTGCCCAGCCTTAATACAAGGGAGGTGCTTAGTCTTACTGCAACTGTGTATGCCATGCTTTGTTGATACCCATGTGAGGCCTACTGATTTCTGCACAGAAAAAATGGAGGAGTGAATTGAGAGAGGAAGATGAGGAGAAGGGGGAAGGAAATGGGAGGAGAGGAGGGAGGATAAAATAAATACATAGATAAATAAATAAATAAAGTGGAATTACTGGATAATTTGTTTAAAAAATTACGCTTTTGGGGGCAATCTTACAGACATGGGAAAATACATTTGCCTAGACATGGAAGCAATCAGGCCCTTTGATAATTTTTGAAAGTGGAGTAATGAGAAGATGAGTAAGTGCTGAAGGATGTGTGAACTTACCTTCTATTGCCTCCCAAATCTTTAGGCTTTGAAATTCACTTCAGAGCGGAGCAAAAGAAAAAAAAATTGCAAAGCTACATTTTCTCCTCAGATCCATTTTCCTCAGTTTCCAATGCTATACTTGCAAACTTCCAAACAACTAAACCTCAGTTATTTTAAATAAAAGTAGACTGCTAATTATTGAAGCGTTGATTTTTCTCTTGTCATTACAGCTCCAAGTGATGAAAAACACGGGAAAACAAGTACGTTGAACAAATATTGATAAGAGGAGCATATTTTAGCAGCTAACGCACTTGTATTTTCTCCTGTTGACCTTGTTAATACTGATTTTGTGAGTCTCATCTGTCCGTGTTTCTATATGATTAATTGTTATGGTGAAATAATATGCAAGATAACTCAATTGGCTTTTTTTTTTGTTTGTTTTTCGAGAGAGGGTTTCTCTGTGTGTAATCTGGCTTTGTAATGTGTAGATCATAATTTCTGTATTCAGTCACATATGTTTTCTGCACATATGTTTTAGCAAGTTACATTTTCTTAAGCATTTCCTGATTAATTATTTAAGGATCCCAATGATTAATTACTTGATCAAGCTACTAAGCCATGTAATTTGTCTATCATGAAAGTTGAATTTTCAATGGAATACAGCCGTCCTAAAGTTTTATTAAAATTTCCTTTGTAGAGTTTCATTTTTCTTAATGTTTATATCCTTAGATTAGGAAAATTTTCTGGTAACTTCTCATGACAGATGCATCAGTGGCAGAACTTATTCTTAGAGAGAAATGCTGATTTGTTGCTTATTATTTTTTTAATCTGATGAAATACAGTTATTTCAGTACTGTTATAAATGAATATCAGGCATTTGCTTTCAGAAAAAATACTAACTTCCATATGCTTTATATATAAGATTAATGGCAAAATATATGCTGCACATACTGTAGAATACATTTATGTTTTTGTTTTGAGTTAAAGGTGCATTCATATTGAACCTAGTGCTGATAAACAAAGGAGTCCTATGTTTTATTTAATGTTTTGGTTTTTGAAACAGTATATCATTGACCTATATATCACAGAATAATTGAAACACATTAGATAACTTGATATAATTTAAAAAAAATAGGACATTGCAATTTTAGTGGTTCACAAAGACATTCAAATAATAGAGATATTAAAAAGAGAGTAGTTTAGGGTTAGAGAGATAACTCAGCAGCTAAGATCACTTGCTGCTCTTCCAGAAGATTTGAGTTCTTGAGATCAGTTCCCAACACCCATGTTGGCTTATGGTTGCCTATAACTCTAGTTTCAGGGCATTCAGTGTCTTCTCCTGCCATCAATAAGCATCCCAAACCATGAGGACATACACACACGTACACACACACAATCTTAAAAAAATAAAAAAAAGTTTTCCATGACCTATAATTCTGTTTATATGTTCATGCAAAACAGTGAGTTTGAAGTTGAATGTAAGGCTAACTGGAACTTGGAATTATAGACTGTTCAGTATGCTAAGCCACGGGAATACATAATCAAGAAAATGCACAAAGTGAAACTGATAATTTTTCATCACTCATAGAAAACTTTAGATTGAAAATTACTCAGAAAATTTACATTTCTCACTAGGAAATGTTATATACAGTTAAAAATATTCATCTACAAGAATAAAACCTGGAATTATGTCCATCTGTGCAGTACTGTCCAATCACATTTTAAAGACCTAAGCATCTTTTGCAGTAAACTAGTAAACTAGTTTGCAAAATCATTTAAAGTTTAAAAAGAGTATCCAACCCTTTATGAGATTGAGACCATTGAACTTGACATGAATATTATTCTTCGCTACAAAATTAACTTAAAATGATTCATAAGCCCTTAATTATTTACATTATCTAATATAATTATGATTAAACATTTATATAGGAGTTAGTCTTTTTGGTATTGAAATAATAAAGCAACAGATTTTACACAGTTACTATAGACAACCAACAACTATAATGTTAATATTAAGGAGAAAGATACATAATTTATGGATACTTTTAAAAAGGCTTTTACTTGCCAATATTGTGTTGTGCAGTTTGTAGGTAGTGTTGGAATATCTGTGGTATGTTATTTTAAATCATAAAAGTATGTAAGACAGTTAGATATATAGGAAAATTAACACAAATCAGGTATGTTTGTGTTTCAGTATGATGGCATTGTATTTAAAAGGAAAGGTGAGATTGATAGAAGAAAAACTAATGGAAAATTATTTCTCATTAACACTGGATTCATAGCTGGAAAATAGACTGAGTTTTAGGGAGGAACCATCTACCCAGCTCCTGAGGAATAATTATTATCACTGTAGGAGAAACACTTATCAGTATGAAATGGAGGTTCTCACGAGTACTATGATCTTGAAAACAAACAAAAACTCTCCAGGTTTCAATGGCACAGTGCTGACAAAGGGATCTTAACGCCCCTAAAATGTCATGAGGTGAGGGTGATGAAGAATGTATTGGAGATTCAAAAATTTCAGACCTATATTTAGAATTTCTGAAAGTTGATATTGTTTCTTTTTTCCATTCAGGTGAAAGTCAAAAATGTCTCCAAATGCCCATTCCTTTATCCACGTAGTTACTTGAATATATATACCACCTTGAACATTGGATATAATAGTTCTGAGATTGACAATATAGTTAACAGGTGGGATTTGAGAGTACTGATTATGTAACATATGTGGTACCATTCATGGCAAATCGTCAAAAAGACATTATGTTCACATTAGTTACTAAAAATGTGACTGTATCATCTCTATTTTATTGTGAATGGTCACACGAAGCATCAATGCTTTGAAGGTCTTTGGAAACATTGCTAGATTTAATTCTTTCCAAATTGAGTAATTCAAAGGCTTATATCACATTGTTCACATTATCTGAATCTATCCTCTGGTAAATTGAGTTATGAACAAGAAATTGACCTTAGATTAGACAAAATTGAAAATTTGTCTATATAAATTTATTTGAGATATGTACAACCAATCATTTTTCATCCTCTGATTTTGCCACTGAACATATTATTATACATTCCCCCAACAAGCAGAGGTTGATCAATCTAATTTCACTTTAGTATCCTGATATGTGGAGCCAAGAGCAATCCTCTACTAATGCACACCCCAGAATTATCTGGGAACAACCAATATGCAGAACTGAAGATTAAGAGAATTTTGAAGTTAGGTATTTATCATTGAAAGAGTATTTGGAGGCATTTGTACCAAGATATTTAAACATTTATTTGAATACCATTGAACTATTTCTGAAAAAATAAGGAATATAATCTTATTCTGGTTTAGTAAATTAGGGTTTGTAGATTCTCCCGCAGTAACCATGATTCCACAAAATAGTTAGCTGGTTTTCCAGTACCGGTACCTTTTGTTGAGTGGGTATTAAGTACAGTTAAGTCCAATTAATCCACTGGTTAACACCAAAGTATGTGTACCACTACTGCACCTGAAAGGATGTCATTCCAAGCTGGTCAGTCATTGGTGTGATTAGTAGGTATCATAGGTGGGTGGGACTCTTGATTACTTCTTTTATTTGGAGGCTTGTATGATACCTTCTGGTACCATAGGAGCTAGACTTCAGTGATGGGGCATTCAGGTCAGTTCAAGTTTTGGATCCTGTTTCTGAAGTGCAGTGTCTTCAGCAAGAGGGATTTACCTTCCACCTCCTGGTGGTAGCCAATGACAATAGCGATAGGCTGTACACTTTGGGAATATTTTAGACAGCCCTGGGCAACTGTTCAAAAGAGGGCTTCTTATGCCTGGCATTAGGTTTGTGTTAGGTGGTCTTTGGCTTTTAGAGGGAGTGCCATCAACTAGAAGAGAAAAGTTAATAAAAACCACACATGTATATGGGGAAATATTTAGGCATTTCTTGAAACACAGGAAGACTTTTAAAACTCTATATGAAAAAGCTGAACCATAAATTTAAAATCAATGTATTTTATAATAGCAAAATTAAGATCTTTGCCACTCAACACTGTAACAAGTGGTAGTAATATACAAATTTTAATAAGACTAAAAGTATAAAAATATGATAATAATGAACTACCTCAAATAATGCAAAGTTTGTAAAATAAGTTGGGAAGCATTACAAAGATTATTATCACATCATTATTCCCCTCCCCAACCCTGCAAATTGTAGAAAGCTTTGCCTATTTTTGCTTCAAAATGGAATACCTTATTCTAGGAATAGCATTCCATATTATATCTTTTGTTCACCTTCCTCATTTTCCTTACCAGATATTCAGATAACTCCACCATAGGAAAACTTTTGTCTTTGAAATAGTTCTCATTTCTTGAATCAACAACTGAGTTGAATATTTATTAAGTCGTCACTAATATTTAACAGCACTTACACTATCAGCTTTCCCGCTCAATTGTTCTTCACCATCTACATAATTAAAGAGTGAACAAAGGGCTTTACATATTCTTTCCTAACATTCATAAATCACTCAAAGTGATTTATATACGAATACTTTAACATCTCCTTTTGTGAGATAGGCCACTTTCTATCAGTACTACTTACCTAAGAATACAATTGTGATATCACTGAGTTATGCCTTGGGAGAGAGTTTACATAGGGTTAATTTATCAGAAAGCAAAAATGAGAAACAGTGTTTTATAGCTCAGCTTCTCTGCAGCTTGTTTTTCTCTCCCTCAGACACTATACGCATTTTATGTTTTGGTTGTCTGTGTTCTTGCCTGGCTATAGTACTATATGTTATTATTCTGAAAACTCTGATAGCCATTGCTTATTCTTTGAATAACTGAATTTGCAGAAGCTGAACGATCCAAAGAAGAGATTGCTGCTGCCTCAACCAAAAAGGGTAAACACAGCTGAAAAAAAGGCTGATATGACTCTAATCAGTCCTGAAGCTTCTAACTTAGTTTGTGTAGTGTTGTGAGAGAAGCTTTGCCTGCTGATTCTGCTATCTCACTGATACAGAAACAAACTTTGCATGATACTGGTAACATCTACACTAACAAGGTTTTATGTTCAGTTTCCTATTGCAGTTAGGCTTGGTCCTCGAGAGCTATAAACAAGTGTTTGTAATTAGATCCAAACTGCAATTGAAATTTTGAAAATTTTTGTAAATATACTGCTTAAATTCAATATGATTTCAGTCATTCATAGGGCATTTGGATTCACCACACTACTCTAAACTGAATAAATTAAAGATCAATTATTGAATAAATTACAATTTGGCTAAGAAGACTCACATAAAAATGTTCATTTTGTATGAAAATAATGTAAGATTAAGAAATATATTCCGGCCCAGCGGTGGTGGCGCACGCCTTTAATCCCAGCACTCGGGAGGCAGAGCCAGGCAGATCTCTGTGAGTTTGAGGCCAGCCTGGGCTACCAAGTGAGTTCCAGGAAAGGTGCAAAGCTACACAGAGAAACCCTGTCTCGAAAAACCAAAAAAAAAAAAAGAAATATATTCCATGAAATGTTGACATAGGGCAGTTTATGATTTGAAATGTAAAATGGGAAGGTTCAAAAGAAATCAGTAATTCTAACAATGTCTTTAAATGTATCTCACAAAAATATTTAATAAGCCTAGCCTTCAGTATACATTCACAGTCCCCAAAATCTATGCATGCACCTTTATACACATATTCCACTAAAATGACATTACATATTCTTATAAAAATGACTTTATCTATGTATGAAAATAAAACAAACATAAAAATTGGAAAACTAATAAAATATACATGACACCTATTTGCATGTTCCTTCTAACATAATATGTATAAACATAAACTAATGTGCCACATCCATTAATGTGTTTCATATATTACTATTAGTTGATATATATCTTTGAATTGGTATATATACATATACATACTTATGTCATTTTATGTAGGTGATTATATTATGTTTAATTGATATAATTTTATGATAAGTGACAGAAGGCTAAATTAATATGGCTTTATATGGTATTATATTCTGAAATTGACATAGCTTATTAATATTGTATGGTGTAAATAAATGCAGGTTTTTTTCTGAATGAGGGATATCATGGTATTATGAAAAGGCTAAGAATTTTAATAGTCAATAATAAAAAGTCATTAGTCTGGGCATGGATATGTGGGTTTCATATGCTGTCAATAAGGGAAGGTTATTGATAAATTTGAAGGCACTAAGGAAGTTGAAGGCAAGGCATATTCAAATCTGTAGTTAACAATGACCCAACACCGTGTCCAAAAAAAGTAGATGCTTTTCTTCTGTTAGTTGATTGCAGATAATCATCTTTGGGTAATTAGTGATTATGGAAAAGAATGTGATGATGATTAAAAAAATATTAAACTATTGGCATTGGATTTATGCATGGATTGAGGCATTTTTACCTTGAGTATTTAGGGCATAAATACAAGCATTCATAATTTTCAACTCAACCATGTAAATAAAGAATAAATAATGATATGAGATCAAAACTGTATAATTAATTATGGAACTCATCAGAATCCTCAACTAAAAATGTCATAAATTTATAACATGGCCAATATTTTTGTTGAAATGAGCTTGCTTAGTAAATTTTTAGAGTCAAATGACAGAAAAGCAATCTACTTATAAAATATTATAACCAACTTCTTTGCTAATTAATCTTGTATCTCTATTATTGTTTTAAATATGGTTCTACATGTTGGCTTGGTGCATAATGAAAGAATCAACAGAATTACACATTGTTCCAAAGTTATCATAAACTCAGAGAGGGACTTAACGTAATTGACAAATTACAAAACAACACTAAAGCTGATTTTTCTCATCTGTTCACTAGTGTACACATTTCCTTTTCTCTCATATGGAGCACACTTATTCTTCTTTTATGAATAAGGCACCCATAGCACTTGTTACCTTAGAATCTCTCACAATTAAATAGAATAAGAAGACTGAATTAGTGGTTGTTTTTGTTTCCAAGTTGACTTTGAGCAAGGGACTGTACATTATAGAGTGAAATCTGCTGATTATGTGAAAATTTATAAAATTTTCAAAGTTAATCATAATTCAACTACAATTTAGTAAGTAAGCTATAATGTATTAATTGATAGCTTGTATGAATTATTTTCCATTAATACTTTATTTAAAGATACATGATATTAAATCATCATTTGACACATTTTTTAAATTTTACAGTTTTCTGTTTATTTTCACTTTCATTCAACATAAGCTTATGGATACAATACTGTATATTAATTCAAAGAAAATATGAGAGTTCTACTCTCGAGCAAATAAGATACTGGAAAAATATTTACTCTATTTTCACTCTCAGTAAAAAGTTTTCAGCAAAACTATAGCTCAAGGCCTAAGTCCAACAGGGAGATAAAATCAGATGAATTGACATGGCAGTTTAAAATTTATTCTTTCCTGGAAAACATCAAAAGATTTGCTTTGCAGTGATTTCAGAAGTAAGTCTTCAATAACAGATAACTTCTGCAATGTGAGAAGGATCTATGAGAGCATCTTTGGTCTCAGCAATAGAGCAAGGCAAGGTAATGAAGCTTTGCAAGATGTATGTGAGGAACAGTATATCTCAGGAGTTCTGGGTGTCCAAGAGGTATGCCTCATGTGGCTAATGCTGACAGTGTTTCCCTTGCTAATGCAATGAAACCCATTAATCTCTGAATAATTAAAGTCCTCAACAGGAACTTTCACTTTACCTGTGTCTGGTGAGGTGCTCCTAAGGCAACTTAGTCCACCATTTCTCTTCCTAGTCTTTGAACTTTACTTCTTTAAATCTTTGTATACCTTTACTGTATACACACTTAATTGTTGGTATACCAGGGATCCCATTATTAACTGAAGCTTCATATTCTATCCTTGACTTATGGTGTAGATGTGCCAAGATCACAATTCTGTCCTATGTTCTAAAGATTCCTATCATATCTCCATTTCAGATTTTACTATTCATTTCAGGCTTGTGTTCTAAATTGTTCAAATAAACAACTTCAGACCCAGCCCTTCTCAACTCAAACTGGTTAATCTCTCCTCCCCACTTGCTTTTCATTAATCACTCTTTACTTCACTAGAAATCTGGAAACAATTTTGAGTTTTCTCTTTATTTCTACTACCTGCTTATTTAAATATTCTTAATGTATTTCTGTTTTTATTCCTTAGATATTGCCTGTGTATGTGTTTGCATTCATAACCCTCTTGTCAATACAACTCAAATCTTCATTGTCTTTTACCTGACCTACTGTTGTGATCGAATGACTGACCCGGGGTGTTATATTTATATTAAAACTCACTAAAAAAGCCATAGTAAATCATCAATACATGACACTGAATAAACCACTTTATTTAAATTCTTTTTCCTCCAGCAATTCATAATATGAGGTCCCACCTCATTAAAATGACTAATCCCCATGATCAGTCTTCAGTATTCTTTTCGAAATTCACCTTCAGACATGGGCCATTTTATGTGTTGCATTAACATTGCATTGCACATAATTTTTTTGACTGAATTAACTTACTTTACTGAGTTGATATTAAAGAAGAGATATCAAATTAGCAGGTGATCATGGCTTTCATCTACTTTCAGTATGATTGTCAGATACAAGGGCTTATTAAGATTTATCTGCATTGAATTGTGTTAACATACAAATGTGAGTATATCATACATACAAGAAAAAATTTCTCAACATCAACATAAATAGAAAGTATTTCACCATAGCTTTCTCATGGGGAAAATGGAAAAAAAAGAAACTTTTTAAATTTCCTGCAGATTTTTCCTTTCGAGGCAATCATAACATTATTTTTCTATTCCTTTCTTAATTCCTAAATATCTTTAAATAGATAGCATAATCTAAAATAGTCTTAGACATATTTTGTTTAGCTCTTTTGGGATGCTTAGAATGCTAAGAAAAAAATTTAAAATGATCTTTTACGTGAAATATTTACCAGAAAGCCAAACACCTGTCTAGTGGCATCCTAATCTAAGTTCATCTTTGTCCCTCAGTCGGTAAATCTACTGTTCTATTCAGAGTGCAGATTCCCCTTTACAGAAAGTACCTTGCTTAAGTGTTATAATTCTAAGAGGTCCCGATATTTTCTAAGACTGACAGTCTTCATATGGAAATAGACATTAAGTATAATTATAGTCATATACCATTAAAAATCAAAATAGGATGTCTTTGAATTGCAAGACAAGTTTTATTTTAAAACAAAATAATGTATTGTCCAGGAGCCATGGATTTACTACAAATTTTGTTTGTTACAGTGGGTATAACATAGAATGAAGGTTAAGACAAAAGAGAAAAAAGAGGTGGCTTTACTGAGCTGATGTGCTGTGGGAGAGGAGCTGAGGCCACAGGAATCATTGCACATAATTCTAAATATACATTTTCTAGTATTTGGTAGTGGAAGAGTGGACTTATTAATAACTATCATCTGATAATTGATGAGAAAACATCATTCTTATTTTCCTACCATATATGCCCAAAGACCTAATCAAATTCCTTCTAAAGACATTTATGCACTTTGTTAATTTAGTCATTCTCATTTTAAAATAGTACCTTTAAAATCCTAGTGACCTTTGGGCTAGTTACATTAAATACATCAAAATAATATCTTATTATTCCAAGGCTAAATTGCAGTATGTAAGCATGATATCAGGGACTTTTGAAACTGTGTACTACAACTCACCTGTTCACCAAAATCCTAGCATCCTCCACATTTAGATAATACTCATTGCCCAAGATGCTAATGGACATATTAAACGTTTTGAGTGATGATTAGTGAGTAAGGAGAGGTGGGGCATTTAGGTTCTTAAGGGATGTTTAAAAGAACAATAATAAAATTTAGCAAACAATGAAAATAGAGCGA